GCAGCTATCTGGTCAAAGCAGGACACTTTCATCAAACACTACCGAATTGAAGTCCTGTCCCAGCAAGATCTGGCCTTTGGCAGAAAGGTGCTTCAAGCAATTGTCCCGCCCTAGAGAGGTAGGCTTGTATTTTGTGTACTTGTTTATCCTCTCAGGTTGCTGTCCTGGAAGATGATTGGGGAAATGTTCCGTTAGACTTACCGGTAACAGTATTTCTAGGAATCTTCCAGGACAGCAAGCCTACTTCCCACCCGGAATGATGTATGGTATGTTATTTATTGTTGGGTTGTCCCCTCGTTTACTGGGGTGGTAGTCTACTTTTATCACAACTGAGGTACGAGGGGAAGGGGAGGGGCTTTTAACTGTTTTGCTAATTGTGTTTCCTGTAGAAGGTGGAACCAATCATCTCTCAGGTTGCTGTCCTGGAAGATTCCTAGAAATACCGTTACCGGTAAGTCTAACGGAACATTTTCCAACCGACACCTTCGATCAGCTGATCAATGGGTGCCGACAGCAGCACCACTATGCAAAACCTATCCTCAAGTGTATCACTGACAACTCAAACTCTTCTTTTTCCCCATATACAATACTTTTTTGGGCTTCACTGAAAAGATTTCTATATTCCAAGACCAGGCCCTGTGCCATCTACTTTGTATATTTGAAATTGAAGATAAATTGTTAAAGATAGCCCTGTTTTTGTTTTTTCTTCCAGACCAGTCGACCTGGAACTCTAGCGGATATAGGCAGAGAAGGTGAGTATGATTATTCATTTTATTTAAGCTGAACCTTAAATTGCTGTTTATACTGATAATTTTTCTTTGTATTCTAGTGGAGCTCCACTCCAGTCTTTGATTCTCATTAATAGGGCATGTTATTTCCTCCACCAGATAAAAGCACATTTACAATTAGGGTTTATTAGGATAACCATAGACAGGAGGCAATCCCACGGATCTCCATATTCCCATATCTCCATATACCCCTCTATAGATAGGAACATTCTTCTAAATTAAATTCATGGTCATAGTGAATATTAATGAACATATGACCAGCCTCGTAATGGGTGATCTAAGCTAACTGCAACAAGTATTTCAGCTGTTTTTCTATGAAGCTTGTGGGAAAGCCTGGTGGGGGCTAGACCAGATTTTATTTGCCCCGTTAGATTTAAAGGGAAGCTCAGTTTATTTTGACGTTTTAAAAGTGTTTTTTATTGCTTTTTTTTATTTGACTTTTTCTATAAAACCTTTTGTTTTACTTACACACAAAGGATGCTCAAAAATAAATAGGATTCGCAAAGCATTATGAGAGCTCAGAAGGAGCTTTTTACTTTCAGGCTCTGTCTCCTTAATTTAAATTAATTATTAATTTAAAATGTCCTTACAAATCCATCAGAAGAGAGCAAGCAAGGAGCCAGAGGGAGGAGGGATGAGTCACTATTGACTCATTCAGTAGGATGTTGTGTACACCGTACTGCTATTGAGCTCTGTAAACTAAAAACTTTTTCATCAAATAAGGATAGACTAGTCGACATGTCACATCTGCTTAGGGATAGAAATGAGAATTATAGATTAAATGCAATATCTCAATTTTGCCTGTCTGGAAAAAAAATAAAAATAAACCATAGAGCTTTGTTTGAATATTTGGCTACAACGTGATTGTGCTCCAGAAATGTTGAGCTATGAAATGGTTAGCTATATGCCGTCGCTCACATCCTGCAGGGTCGATTTGTGCTTGAATATCATTGCTCAATAAACGTTAAAAACATAAATTGCATTCATATCAGTCACCTTAATATCTAACTCCTTTGTCTATAATATATGTTAAAATAATATTTTGCCTTCTGGATGTTAATGACTATCAAATATGATTCTCTTCTATACGAGCTTTGTCTCCTCTATGACCTTCAGAAATCGGTAGCTATTTTTTAAAGGGTTTATCTATCTTTTACAGTGTTTTCTGATATTGCCAAAGTGCCCAAACTACTACTTTGTAGAGTATATTTTGTTAATAGAGACCTGCATTTGGAAATACATGCCAGTGTTGATTGCCTGGTTGTCATGATGACTCTTTGACTTCAATAATTAGTACTTCACTGGCCTTAAGCATGTTCATAGCTCAGACATTTGAACTTACAGTTTTGCTCTTCTTGCTTCATGTTTATTGTGGGTCAATGACCATAAACATGCTGAAACTATAGAGACCAAGGCATTTAGCAGTTTGAGAAGGTTTGCTATGCCAACCTATCTATTACCATCAGTGTAGGTTTTCTTTACGCTGATACTCTGACACCGTATTAGCAGCCTCGGCTCCAGGTGATCTACTTTTTTACTATGAGCCATTCTAAAGCCATACAAATTATACACCTACACACAGACCATCAGTAATTTAGTGTGAAAGGTAACGTCATGGATTTAAAGTGTATGTAAATCCTCTAATTTACTCACTTTTGGTCTATTAAATATACCATTGAAAGTGTATGTTTTTTTGTTTTATTCATTTAGTAATTGCCACAAATCCAGTGAGCTCCTGACTTCCTTTTGCATTGTTCCTGTGCTGTGCTAAAATCCAAAGCACAGTTATCAGACCTGCCCTGTTCACCTCTGTGGAATACAGAACACTTCCCTCTTTGGTATGGAAAAGAGGAGTGGGCAGCCTAGTGTGAACGCTGCTCCTCTATAGATACAGTAGAATGAGTGAGAGTTGTCACCCTAGTACAGAAGTGTGTTATTGGCAGGATCACCAGTTTAAAACAGTGAGGAAAAAGAAAAACTAATGCTGTCTTATGTCATTAGATGTTGGCTAATTGCGTATTGCAGAAGTTATGCTTCTAAGATATTGAATCCTTTATTGACATCTGTATTCATTCTTTCTCTTGTGTGTCTGTTCACAGTACGGCCTCTGAAAAAAATCATTGTTACAGTCTTCAACTTCTTTGTCACAGTGGCAACAGCATTTGCTTGCACTTATATCGGCAGTCAGTATGTCTTTGCTGAGTCGGCCGCGGTGAGTGGGTTAAGCTTCAGTATAATACACCTAGATTGTCATTGGTCACCATATATTTACTGATTATTTCATTTTAGCTTAGTCCCCATGAGGTTTGATCTTTTGAAATGATTAAAGGTGTCACAACAGGGAAAGATCTTTGCAGAACCTTTACACATGCCTTGAACATATCATGAGATCAAATTTTGCCTGAGTCCACCTAGAAAACAGCAATCTGATTTAGTAGCCCTCCCCTTTAAATTAGCCACACAGAGGCAGATCTCTCTCAAATAGAATGACAGGTGATGTTGGATCTGCCTCTCTCGTTCAAGATTTAGCACCAGCAGGGACCTACAGTGTTTCTCACCCAGCATAGGAGTGTAGCATATTCATTTAGTGTTTCTGCCCTTTTTGGTTTAAGAGAATGGTTGCTAATATATCACTAGGATTTCTCAGCATATCAAAATATCTCTCCTGGGCAATAAACACTTCCGACAGATGGAAATGCTTATTATATTTTAAGATTTACCCCCAGGACCTTATTGTCACAAGTGATGATTCTATCATTTGCGTTGTTTTCAAAAATCGGCCAATGCATGGACTCCAAAAAACTTTCCACTTAAATTTATGAAGACATCTGAGAATCATTGAACATGTCTTGTTTAGAAAAAACATAGTGGGAAGAAAACAAGAAAACTGCCCTTATAAGACTTGTTGATGCCATTGTGTTTCAGATGCAGTATGCAGCAGTAATGTAAAACAAGATTAAGAGCTTGTATAGATGGGTGCTATTTTCATATGCTGCCTTTTAAATTCAAACGTAGCGCTGTTTAAGTCAATGTGTTAAACTGCGAAATGCCATGGAGGCTGAGTTCATTCTCCTTTTTGTCTGCCATGCAAACAAATCTCAGTGGGACCTGCTGCATCCAAAGACATACAATGCGAACCATTGTAGGTCAAGCACAACCTGAGAACTTTAATCTACACTACACTATTAAAGTGGAAATGTACGGACCTGCATTGTTTACCCGCAATAAACTCAGGACAAACCCATCTGTATGAGCCCTGATAATGTATCTTTCTTGATCGTACAGTACAGGACTTCATAGATGACTTGGTAATATGCAGTTGATTAGATGCTGGTCAGAGCTGTGAGGACCTGCATATAACCCTACCCCTTCAAGGAAATCCTCAGTTTTTTGCTAGTGTCTTCCCAGATGTCTTCTGGTGTCGCCATTGGATCTTAACCTGTGTGAGATTTAGCTTCAAGAAGTAGAGCTTTAAGGATGCATCCACTCGCTAAAATCTGCATTTAAAGGTTTCTTTGCCCACTTTTATTAAATGAAACTTTACAAACACAATGCATCTACCCTCAGAGGGGTTCTTAAGCATTTCTAGGCAACACAAATACATGCACATCCAGCCTCCTGGCTTTGTACTTGCAGCACCGAGCTCCAGGCCTCAATCCCCAGGCCCCTGTCTGTTCTTCCAAATAGCCTCAATCCTGTGCTATCCTGCACACTTGGTTTCACAACCCGCAGCTCCCTGCTGCACTGGACTCCACGGTGACTCCTGAGTAGAGTCCTCCTGTCTCCCAGATGGAGCCCTGAACACTTCCCAACACCTTTTTATTTTACAGGCTGTGCACACCTGTGCCATCGGCAGGTGCTGGACACTATCAAAATATGGACCCAGAAATAGAGATTGCACAGTGGCATTGCCACCCACTGCCACACCTGAACCAGGTGTGGCAGTGGGTGGCAATGCCACTGTGCAATCTCTTTTGTGTCTTCAAAAAATTCCCTTTTGAACCTATCCAGGCTATTTATCTGTCCGTTCTTAAGCACAATGTGGTTTTCCTTGTCACTATTAGGGAGGGATTCGGAACTGGCTGTTCTTTCATGTAACGCTCTGCTTCTAGTTCTGCACAAGGATAAGGTGCTTCCCCCGTCCAAAAGACTGCTTTAAGCCTAAGGTGGTGTTCTCCTTCCATCTTTTTATAAGGATATTGTTCCATCCTTTTACTGTCCAGTTCCGAAACATCCAAAGGAAGTGGCTCTTCACTGTCTGGATGATGTTAGAGCTGTCTGGGTATATCTTACCATTCCAGTTTCTTTCCAACAGACTGCTTCTCTCCTTATCCTTCGTGATGGACATTGCAGGGGTCTCTCTGCATCTCACTCCACCATTTCTAGATGGATGAGACATGTCATTGTGCACTAAAGGGTAAGTCTCTGCATTTCCCTGTGAAGGTTCCCTCCACTAGATCCGTCAGTGACTCTTGGGCTTTTCGACATCAGACATCTACATTGCAGATTTGTGAGGCCGCCACCTCTTCTTATAAGTTCTACCAGGTGGATGTTTGGGCCTCTGCTAATGTGAGTTTTGGCCATAAAGTGCTACAGATTGCCATTTGAGTTGTCTTTCCTTTTGTTTGTTGTTGGGCCTGTTAGCAGTTGTTTTGCTGTCGCCTTCCGCTCAGGGAAGACTTGTGTCCCAGTCATCCCTGAATTGCCTGCGTCTTGTACTGTATGATCAAGAAATCGGTTACATTGAATAGAGATTGTTTCTTGGAGTACAGTACAAGACGCAGCACCCTCCCCTCTATTGCTTGCTAAAAAACTTAAGATTTCCTGGAGGGGGAGGGGTTATATGAGGATCCTCACAGTTCTGGCTGATACCTGCATATTACCTAGTCGTTTCTGAATCTCCTGTGTCCTGTACTCAGCTCCATGTTTATTCCGTTGGTGACTAAATGGTACTGTGATAGTTTGATTCAAATAAACCAATAATGAGAAGAATATGGGGCTACGGTTTGTTGCTGAACTTTAAAAAAAATACTAGTTGCCTGACGGTCCCTGACTATAATACTCTGAGTCACTGGGCTGGAACAAACATGAGAATTAGAGTCTGAGTGCTGTCAGTACACATGTCCCACATACTTATTGCAGGTCAGTACCTAAAAAAAAAAAAAAAAAAAAAAAAAAGTGATACAATCAAGTCAGCATGACTGACAGGCAATTAGCATTTTTAGAAAAGATCATACATGGCAACCTTCATGTTCTCTCCTACAGGTTTCTTTTAAAACATCTTTAAACCTAAAAACAAGAATGTAATCTATTGCAACTCACCAGTCCTTAGATGAGGTGGATGTATTCGTTATCTTCTTCTGGAATTTAAACATGTCTGCTTTTTGTTCATCTTCATTACATGGGGAAATAAAGGTGATTAGTAGTTTACAGAACGAAGGTAACCCTTCCAGGTCATCTTATAGGAGAATTATGAGGCAAGGGAAAAATCACTCAGCCTCATAGTTCTAGCCGACTTGTGACAATTAAACTGTCACACGCCGGCTCAATAGATCAGAAAGTGAGCGAACACATAACGGCGCTCGCTCACTTCTCGATCTATCCCTGCAGAGAGCTGTGACTGTCACTCGCGGCTCCCTGCAGGGATTCCCCCCCTCCCCTGTCCAATCCTCCAGCGCTGACTGGCGGAACGGACGGGGGAGGGGGCGGGCACAGCTGGCTCTGCCTCTAGATAGGCAGAGCCAGCTGTCAATCCCGCAGCAGGGTGGATCCAGGCAGTAATGTCGGGATCCTTCCCGGCTGCGGCGTCTCAGTATACCGCTAGCTGTAGCTCGCGGTATATTGAGCTTAGGGTGACGGGAGGACGCTAGTTTGTGTCCTCCCCGTTACCCTTACGAGAACTATGGGGAAAAGCCCTGACCCCATAGTTCTCCTTTTAAAGGGAGAGACAAGGACATTCCATTTCTGCCAAGATCAGGAGGCATTTTCTGTACTCGTTAAAGTTTTTAGTTTGAAAAATAGAATGAATGCAGTAACTACATTTAAGGATACAAACTGCAATCCATTACATTTTTGTTGTTGGGTTTAGCTATCCTTTACGCCATTCTGGTAATATACTTTTAATCGGCAAATACAAATGACAGGTTGGGCCATCCATAATCCACAAAACGTTTTTCTATGTGCATTCAATGTGATGTGAAATGAACAGTTCTGATCTTCTTTACAGCGGGTACTGTCCTCTGTGATCGTGGCTTCATTAGTGGGACTGGCAGAACTGTATGTGTTGGTTCGGGCCATGGAAGGGGAACTTGGAGAGTTGTAGCATGTGTTCCTGGCACTCCTGGAGAGAATGCGCCATCTATTACTGAGCTGGACTCCGTCTGCTGAGATATGAGTTGTTGCACTATGACAGAGGAAGTCCATTTTTATTTCATGTTATTTATGGTTGATTATTAGTTTTCTACAACTGCTGCTTCTTCAAAGATATATCCATACTAACACCAACCTATTAAAGTTTTGCATTCATTGTTTTGGGATTGTTTTAGAAAGGCTATCTTTGCCTTTGCACAATGTGGGAGTGCTCTGATAATTTCCATGCCTTCTTATCACAATGTTGTCTGTTATTAATGAGATGAGAAGATCTGTGTATAGGCTCATGCTGACCATACAATCAGCAGTTTTCTAGCAATGGCAACTACTTTCAATCAGTTTCATCAATCAAATCAGGGGTATTTTTAAAAGCTGGTTGACATGGCTTAAAAGTGGATGCCCACATACTGTATATTACAAGGAAAAGCTATTGAGAGACATTAGATCACTGGTGGTCAGCTTATTTAAAATTGGGAGGCTCCAGTATATCCCTTGCCAACACCAAAGCGTCACACTTAATATTTATTAAGTATAATGCAACTCAGAAAGCTGTCAGAGACTGCAGATAAAAAAGGGGTAAAAGGGACGGGCAGCACCAAAAAAAATAAAATAAGATGGTGTAAAAGAAATAAACCAAACTAAACCATTAGCTACTAAAAGAATATTTTTCCTTCACTAGTTTGAGTAAGCACCATAACACAGGCTACTGGCAGCAAGGGCCCCATAGGCCACACAATAAGTGCCACAGTCTGGGCACATTTAGTGCTTTAAGTTAAATGTTTGTCTAAGAAAAATATTTTATACATTTTTATAAATGCAGCTAATAAAAAAATCAATAGGCAAGTCTGGAATTTTTTTAGAATGTTTACCATTGATCTTTTCACCATTTTAAATATTTTAAGAGAACCCGTATCCAGATTTTGGACGTTAAAATATTACATATTGTTACCAAGCATTAAATGAGCTGAAAAATAAACACTGACTGACTTTTTCAACTGCATGTACTGTGGAGCAATTCATCCTCAAATTTCCCAACAGAGGCATCCCGGTCAGGTTGTTTTTTTTTTTTTTTTTTTTTTTTTTTAAGTCGCAACTTCAGTGCTGCTTCTATTAAATTTGATGACAAATTAAGCTATGGCCTTGTTGGTTCTCCCCAAAGTTTTAATCCTCTTTTATAGCTGATTAGAAATTGGGATTTATTTTGGCGAAACGTGTTAAACCAAAATGACAAAGCATAGCAAAGACATAAGAGAGAACTTGTCTTTAATTTTTGAATCTACTCTTGGAAAACTGCAACCAGATTCTTATTTCCCTTTTCTTTCATTTTAATATTTTAGGGCAAAAATCACACCTAAGATACACAGAATGAGGTAGAACATGCACTAAGCCACAAAATGTTCTTACCTAAAACCCATTTGTGGCACAGCAATTGCTGCTTCCAGATTCTCACTCAGTAGTATGGAGTAATGTCAATGAGGGTGGGAATCTACTTGCTACTACTGATTGTTCAATGACCCCTCTGGCCACGATACAGCCTTAAAGCTGAACTCCTTTTACATACACATTAGTGCACACATAGTACATACACATTACATGTACATGGCTTCTTTTTTCCATCCAGAGGAACTAAACATTTGCTCTTATAATGGCACCTACATCCTGTCCTTGCATCATTTAATGGGGTCATAGAGAGCTTTAGATATGCCACTCTTGTGGCAGAGTTCAGTTTAAAGTAAATTGTAGATATGAGAAGATGGAAAAAGATGATTGTATTGGATAACAATCTCATGTCTACAAGTCGCTGAAAAGATGACTGGCCAACTGCTGTCTGGCAGTAGTCTAGCAGCAGACTTGAAATCTGTCTTAATCACTGTTGCACCTCTTCTGATAAGCTGGTGCCAACCAGCATTCTCTTTGCTCCATCTTCTTGATAGAAGTCCCTCGTAATGTCAGCCAGTATGATTCTATAGGCTATTGGAGTGCTCTGTAGGCAGCACACCATTAGTGTGGTTAGATCTAACAGGCAGCTGTATGACTATACCCCATGCTACAGTTACAATGATTGCAATAACACCCATGTTACCAACCAAGCACATACAATCTCAGAGCTAAGACGTTGTTTTAGGAGACAAGTATATGCCTTTCATTGTTATCATTCCATTGTAACTTTTTTTTAGAGACTCTGGGATTTTCACTTCTAGTCTGCTTTCAGATCTAATCCTCACAACACAGTGACATGCAGGTCTGATCTTATGGGGGACCATTTTGTAACTTAAGGACTTGTTCATACCATGTCCATTGAGGTGTGGTTTTTTTTTCTTCCCACACCAGAAAAAAACAACTGCTTTCTATATGCCCTGTTCTCACTTTGTGTTCTCTGCCTGCTATATGTTGCCCTGTGGCCTGTGTATAGCTCAACATGCAGCTAAACCCGCATATTCTGCAATAAGCCAGACAGTGAAATCTTGATGATTTATTAACAAAACAGGGCGGGGGTGATACTGGTAAACATGCAATCGGTGTAAAAAAAACATATAAATACAGTGTCAGCTCACAAATATACAGAGAAACAAGTTTGTCCATACCAGCAATGCTGCATAAAGGTAATTTGGGCTCTTTCCTCCAGACACATGCTACGGATGGCGGTGGGTTTTCTTCTCAGTCCTAAAATGGAGGCCCAAAATGCACTTGTTTCCTTCTCTTTGGGTAGAGGAATGCTGGGAGCCTTTTTTTATTATTAACTCCTTCATGACCTGATCTTTTTTAGAACGAAAACCACGTTCACTGTTACAATTTTGTTTGAGAAAAATTTTCCATCCTGCTACTTCATCTTTTTTTTCGTAACTATGGTCAAAATCGATGATCGATTTGACCCCATCAACCAATAGAATGTGGAACGAAAAATCTTTCGTATAAAAATTTGGGGGAAAATCGACTCGGAAAAACAAAAATGGTATGGCCACCCTAAGCTTCTATAAACAGATTCTCTTCAGCTCTATCGTGTGGCTGATTTTATTATGGCAGGTAGGTAAGCTTGTCAGTTTTGCCTGTTGAAGGCAGAACAATAAGTGTGTGGTGGTGTGCAGAAACGTGAAGCTCAAGGGACACGGTGCACACAAGCCCTTAAGATACATCAAAGCCCACCATAAGGTCAGACCTGCATGGCACTGTTGTGAGGTTTTTTGGCACACCTCACAAAACTAAGACCCCAATGGTAGATAAAGAGTTCTATCTCCTAAATCCCAAAACACACTGAAATCTTAGAAAATACTTCTACATTTAACCTTTAATATACAGTGTTACTGCTTGTCATACCACAGTGCTTACAGTCAAGGGTACCTGTGGAAACAGAACTTGCAAATACTAACTTACAAAATCAACTGGCTTCTTCCACTGTACAGTATGCAAGTTAAACTATAAGGACTTATTCACACCATGTCCATTGAGCTGTGGGGTACAAGTACAATATAACTGCAGCTCGACAGGCATCGTGTGAACAAGATCATTTGGATGTGTCCATGTTCCTTGTACAACGCTAATCTGTCTTGTCTTTTTTTCTATTTAATGTGTATTTTTTTCTACACTTGTTTCTTTTTCGAAGACTGTGTACTTTAATGACTTTTGTCTTTTAATAATAAAATCACTTCAATAAATCTATACAACCGATATGTGTATTTCTTAGGCGTTTTTAGAATAAATAGCTCACTAAAGGTGGCCATACACCTTCCAATTATCGTTCAATTTCCTTTGTCCCAACATCGCTTCCTCGTTCAATTGCCGCTCAAATACCCCATCATGCACAGACCAATGTAGATTTCGATAATCGTTCGTCAGCAATACTAACTGTCCAAATTTTGACGATTGACAGAACAGATTTTCATTTGCACACGTGCAGTGCTAATGTTATGTTTTTTCTTAGTTTGAAAACCCCACTAATTCATTGATTTTCGTACGATTCGAAAAAAGTTTTCTAGTCTGCCCGATATACGAAATGCGGCCAGTTGTACAGTAATTGAGATCATTTATTTCCCATCAAGTGGCCGATTATCGTACGAAAAAACGATTTCGTTTGGAAATCGAACGCAAATCGCAAGGTGTATGGCCACCTTTACTGTGTGCTGACTTTATGAAGTAGTGATGCACACAATGTCAGCATTGTTTTTTTCTGTGGTGGATAACCGTAAATTCCCTAGCTTATTCTCAAGATGGAAGATTATTTGTCAATTAGAACTCTTCAAGCCCAACGCTAGACAAAAATGTTTTGATTGTGGGAAATTATTTTTTTGTTGATGTTTCGGAGATGACGCATAGAGACATGGATGAAGCTGCATTACATTCTCTTACACTGGAGTCAATTCAACTTAAAGGAGAACTATGAGGTGAGTGCTTTTCACCCACCTCATAGTTCTAGCCGACCTGTGACAGTCTCATTGTCACAGGTCGGCTCAGTAGATCGGGAAGTGAGCGAACACATACCGGCGTTCGCTCACCTCTCGATCCTGTCACTGCTCTCTGCTGTGACAGGGGAGGGGCTGGATTCCCCGATCCGCCAGCGCTGACTGGCGGGGACAGCTGGCTCTGTCTCTAGATAGGCAGAGCCAGCTGTCAGTCACGCAGCTGGGCGGATCCCGGCACAATTGTCGGGATCCGCTTCAGCTGCGGCGTCTCTGTATACCGCGAGCTAAAGCTCGCGGTATACTGAGCCTATGGTGACGGGAGGACGCTAGTTTGTGTCCTCCCGTTACCCTAAGGAGAACTATGGGGAAAAGCCTTAACCCCATAGTTCTCCTTTAATTTTAAAATCTTTATTCAAATAAGACTAGAATCTCTATATAAAAGAATAAAGCAGTGTGGTCAGTAAAAGTGTTAGTGTACAGGTGGCCAAAGATATGTAAATAAGCTTATAGAGAACGTAATACCGTATATATTTACAGTGAAATTAAGTGTACCTATTTAATGAGTGAAAAAGGGAAAAGCATGCCAAAAAATTGGATAGCAAGTCAACCCAAGGAGCCAAAAGGTACCAAAAAGC